TTTGTTCATCTATTACATAACAACCATTATTCAAGATTGGCCTATTTAATTTTGACATTTTTCCATTCTTCACCTTTTCAAAACAAATTATCTGTCCTACTTGGAAATCTTTATGGGTTATTCTCAGATGTGTAACTTTTCCTGGAGGACACAAGGTCTTTATGTTAACATGTAAGCATTTTTCTGAACCAAATTTAGGATTTTTCGTTTCTAAATCACGAGTTGCTTCCTTGCATTTTACCCTATTGATTGATCGGCCAACTGTCTTGTAAATTTTATACTGCTGTTCTCCCCAATATAAATCTTGAGTTCTCCCGTTCCATGAAAATTTTGCCTTGCCTATCATATCAGCACCCATCAAAACATCTGTGGTTAGATACTCATCAGGGACAATTATCACCTTTTGTTGAATGGAAACATTTGGGGATACTAACACCTGAACCTGAATTTCACCTCGGACTTTGAGTAATGTGTTGGTCACTGAGTATAGGATTTTACTACTTGGTTTAATTTTATCTTCTAATTCAAGTGTCCGGAGCACACTATTTCATCAATGTTGCAGAGGAGCCCGTGTCGACAAAAGCTGAAATTTGTCTATCATTAACCATAATCATAATAATGGGGGTATCAATCTTTCTAATCTGGTTAATGCTGTTTACTTTAACCTTTCTGTTTGGGTCTGATTTCTGATATTCATTTAGTTCTTTCTTAGGAAAACAATTCCCTAGTTGCTGCTGTAATTGCTATTCATTGGTTGGGTCACCATTGTTCTGTGTTCTCGTATCAGTCTTACCAGGACATCCAGAATGACCTTTTCTTTTACCCTCTGCTAGGCAGTCAAAACAACTTCTTGCAGGAGGTTTTCTTGGACATTTGTTACGAAGATGTTTGCTTCCATTTTGACACCAACCACAAGGATAAACAACTATATCTTTGGGTTTGCCTGTCTCTTTGACTTCTACTCTGTTTACCGGTGAATGCACGTAGCTGCGTTCTCTTTCTAATTCTGACAGAAATGCTTCTCCCATCCCATCACTAGCACAGACCTTTAACCTATGTTTGATGGATTCTTGTAAGTTTTCCATCATCACATTCTTCCATGTTTCTTCCTCTTTAGGGGCTTGTTCTTGAGGAAATGCTCTAGCTATGGTCCTAAATCTAGCCCGAAATTTATTCACAAACTCTAGGGTCTTCATCCAATGCGTAACCTCTACTACATAATTCTCTGTATGCTTCCATTGCATTTTTTGGCCTAGTGAACTGGGTCCTTAGAATCTTATCTATGTCTCTAAATTTTCCACCACCTGGAAGGCTTTCTAATTCACCATCCACAAAGGTTCGCAGATCTCTTTCCATTCTGTTTAAGGCAATATTCTTACAGAGTTCATCATCTTCCCCTCCTAACTGTTTTACCTGTTTTGTAAACATCTTAATGTTACCAAGAGTGTCAATTCCATGTAGGTCTTTCATGCTCAACCTTTCAATATCCTTACTTGTTAAAGTATGGAGCTGAGTGACAAGTGGAATGTTTTGATTAGCCTGAGCAATATTAGCCTGAGGTACTGTTCGCTCAGGTCTGGCAGGAGTAGAAAAGAATGGGTCTGAATCTAAACGGGAACCTATTCTCAAAGTAGTAACTTCTGACAATAAGTTTTGATACTTATCTTCCAACTCTTCTCTTTTACTCTTTTCCTTATCTCTGTCCTCTTTTAGTTCAGCCATAGCAACATACAATGTGTTTAGATTTATAGTTAATTCAGTCATTTCATTTTGCAAGGCCTGCATTTCTACATCAGAATCTTTCTCACGTGCCTTCTTATCTACACTTGATTCATCTGCATGCAGATTCTCTGAACTCATTTTGAAAATCACAAAATAACTACAACTTCAAAAAAAAATGTAAACAGTATTATTCAATCTCTCTTCTCTCAGTACATTAGGCTGAAATCAATTTGATCATATCCCACCCTAGCTGCCACCAATATATTGCGCCCTCCCTTTTCTATGCTCCTTAGCAAAGACCGTATTACTTCTCTTTGCTCTGGGAACCACTCAGACTTTATCCAGAGGGGCACTATCTGTTAATACAAGTGTGTGGTTTCTCCAAAAGTACTCTTTAGAACCCACACTAAAATATATATATTCATACAGGTTACTTATGATCTAATTTCACCCTTAGAGGTAACTGAGAGAAGGGGATAATATCAAACCACTTAATAAGTTTACATTTGTTGATATATTGAGTTAAAGATCATTACATTTCTACAGTAAAATAAACTTTCATCTACAAAAATAAATGTCCCAAATGGTTGTATTCCAACCTGTCACTTTTATTCTTCTGGTTCTTCTCAGGTGTCTTCTTTCCTTGTCTTCATCAATGTCCTGGGCTCTTTCATTCTGGTTCACAGCCCCAGGGACGCATAAATCACAACTTCAGAAGAACCCAACAAACCATAAAAAAAAATAAAACAAAACAAAACAAAACAAAAAAATAAACAAACAAACAAAAAAAACACTCCTAGAAAAGAAACAAAATTCTAGTTTAGGAATGATAAACAATATAAAGTTATTAAATATAAGTAAATCAGTTCTTGTAAGATGAAAAACAATATTTCTTACAAACAAACAAATTATATATCTATGTTATTATATACGATCTGAGTAATATATTATCGTGATATTTGATTAAATATCATTATAATATTATACAATTATGAATGCCAAGAACACTTACTCTTTGAATGGGTTTTAAATTCTTATAAACAAGAGAGACACATCGGATGTTATTCAAGAGCCATGTGCCATGTGCCCGCCTCGAGCTGTGAAGAAGATATACTCTTTATCTCTAATTTACAGTTTAATCTCAAATAGTTACTTTCTTTTCTTCTGTAAATCAATTGTACAGTAGTTCATGACTTTATTAATTATATTATTATAGTGGAATGTTCTTTCTTACCTCAGATATTTCACGATAATCAAATACTCTTTCAGGCTGCTGTATGGCACTCCTCTCTGATCTCGATCTCTCTCTCTATGATTATAGCTATGTTTTCAGGATTTAGCACTGTATATACTTTGAATTTTAAAGTCTACTCAGATCACATATATTACACTTATACAGTCCTTCTTAATCTATACATGCATAATTTTCAGAACTTAAATGAATCCTTCCATTAACAAAAATAATATATATGGTTTTCTTTACAAAAATATCATTTATACAACCTTAATATAATTATACTATTGAAATATAATAGCGTACCCTTTAAATAAAGAGAATGTATGGTGGGGGTAACAAAAAAACTTATACTTTGTAGGGTAGACTATCATATTTTACAATTTTCTTATCTTAGAAAAATATAATATTGAAATATATAGAATTTCATGTAAAACTATTAAAATAGAATATCATCTTTCTAGAAAAATAATAAAGTACCTTTCTCTCACATGGTTAAAGCTAAAAACTGAGGTATACTTAAATAATACATATGCATAAAGACTAAGTGAGGTGTATACAGGGGGGTTTCCAGACGAATTTTGGGTCATTCTAAATTCACATCCCTTGTGCTCGTTACAAGGAGACGAGGGAATTCACTTGTGTAAGCCCATTAAGTTATTTCATGTGTTCATAAGAGAAATGAAATACTCTCTGAAATACTTTCTCACAGAATGCGCCTACGTTTCCACTGTGCATGGCAGATCATAGAGATCAGAATGCGCCTACGTTTCCACTGTGCATGGCAGATCATAGAGATCAGAATGCGCCTACGTTTCCACTGTGCATAGCAGATCATAGAGATCAGAATGCGCCTACGTTTCCACTGTGCATGGCAGATCATAGAGATCAGAATGCGCCTACGTTTCCACTGTACATGGCAGATCACGGATCATTATTGAGAGGTGTTGCATGCACTGCGGCGAGCCGAACGCCACACTCGTACACTACTTAGAGAATTGTGAGCATACACAATTCCTGAGACAGGGACCGCCTACAACATAAGGATAAGTCCGATATGCGAAGCTGAACCTCGCCCGGGCTATGAAGGGAGCCCGGCCTGTGCCGACCAATGTCGACTCGCAATCAGTGTGTCAGCAGGTGCTGACTCGGGTGAGCTTAGTCCTTACCCACCGTGGTGCCCAGCCACATGCGACAATTACAACTTCTCGCGCTTGGGCCGGGCGCGAACCGCCGACCCCTCGGATGAGAGGCCGATACGTTACCACTACTACCCCGGAGGCTGCCTACAACAGCCGCCGTGCTGGTAAAGAGGTTACGCGATATGCTTACACCATGGTGGCAGGAGCGCCTGTTGGCAATCCCGCCCTCACGGTAAGCGCCGAGTGTCAGAGAACAAAATGAGACAGCCATAAAAAGTAGACATAGGCCGGGCCATATATAGATAGATATATAGAAGATAGACAGAAGAAGCTAGAATTTCGCAAACTTCAATTGATTGATTGCACGTGAGTGCGTGACGCCACAAGAGCGAGCGACAGCGTGATTGGTCGCCGGAGCAGGGGATGCGTCCGACGAGAAGAAAGAGGGCAGCTCTTTGGCTCAAGTGAAAGAGAAAATGGAGTGTGAGTGGCGCTAAGGAAGGTGTGACGTCACAAAAAGGGGAGGAGTTTATCAGTCTGAGAGCGGCGACAGTGGAGAGAAGATCAGTGCGGATCGAGCCTTCGTTGCGTAAAGTCTTACTGGTTATAAAGATTATAAATCTCTTTACAATAATATAAATATTGACTGACTATTTAAAAGTAATTAATGCATGCAATTTATTATGCTTTTAAGCAGTTGCATATAAATAATTGGTCATTGATAGTTTTTTCTCCTTGCAAGTGTTAAAGTGTTTAACAAACTGAAAATGTTTTACGAACTTAAGAAATAAAAACTTACAAGATATATATTTCATATGATATGATATCTTAGATTATATTCTATACATAAATATGTATATATACATATATATGTATGTATATGTATTTACATATATATATATACATATATATGTATGTATATATATTTACATATATATAGACACATATTTATGCTTATATTACATTCAGGATACATAAATTATGTATATATATATATATTATACATATAGATACGTATATTTATAGTTAAACTATATAATATTCAGGATACATTATATTATATAATATTTAGGATATATTTATGCATATATTGTTTGGAATTCAGATATTCATAATTCATTTGTTACACTTACATCTTACATTACGTATAAAACATAGGACTACATAGAAACATTATGTATGTCCGTAACTAATAAATACATCAATATAAAGAATTTTTTGTACAACAATAGAGAAAAAAAGGGAGAGAGAGAGAGGGGGGGACGAAACGAGGGAGAGAGAGAAAAAAAGGGGGAGAAAGAGAGATAAAAGAGGGAGAGAGAAAGAGATAAAAGAGGGAGAGAAGAGAGAGAGAGGGGGGGAGAGAAAAGAGGGAGAGTGAGAAAAGAGGGAGAGAGAGAAAAAAGAGGAAGAAAGAGAAAGAGGGAGAGAAAGAAAGAGAGGAAGAGAGAGAGAAGGGGAAAGAGAGAGAGAGAAAAAAAAGAGGGAGAGAGAAAGAGAGAGAGAGGAGAGGGAGAGAAGAGAGAGATAGAGGAGAGGGAGAGAGAGAAAGAGGGATAAAGAGAGAGAGAGAGAAGCCTTCTACAGTAAAACGTAACATTCGATAAAATGAGTCATTTATTCGTTTATATTATTCATATTTACATTATTAATATATATTATTATGTATTATATATAATAATATTATAATATTATTATATTATAATCTATATCATTTATATATATATCATTTATATTTATATTATTAATATATTATTCATACTCATTTATAAACAGCGTCTCATGTCCGCGTCTCATATATGTTATGATATTGCTTTACATATTTCCATTTTCTTTGTTATCGTTAATTCAACTATTATTTTCGGTATCATCATATAGTCCTTGTCACAATTATCATGATCATTATTGATATGATCGTAGTTATTGTCATTATTATTATAATTATAATTATCATCATCATCACCTCATTATCATCATTACCATTATCGTTTTCGATGATTATCGTAATCATCACTATCACCATCATTATTTACTTAATAACAATAAAAATTATAATAACAACTATGACAATGTTGATAATCATAAATATAATATTAATGATAATAGCAATATAATTAATAAGAATAATAATGATAATAGGTAATGAAAAATATTATAATAATAGAATAATGATAATGTAATAATATAATAACAATAACAATGAAAATATTAATAGCAATAATAATAACATTAATAGTACAAAAGTGACCTTTCATAACAATATCATTAACTTTATTATTACTAAGGATAGAAATAATTTCTGAAATAATAACAACAATATAAAAACAAAATCAAACATGATAATGTTGATACTGATAATGAAAAGGTATATAAATAATAATAATAATGATAATAATGATCATGATAATTGGAAATAATTAGAACATAATAATGTTGATAATGATAATGAAAAAGATATGTCAATAATAATGGTAATAATGATCATAATATTTGGAAATGATATAGAAAGTGAAATGAATATAGACATAGATAATTCGATTGTTACATGAAAAGGTACAATAATGAAAATAAACATAGGCCTATACATACATATGAATATATATATGCATATATATATATATATATATATATATATATATATATATATTATATGTGTGTGTGTGAATTATATATATATGTATACATATATGTATATATATATATGTATATGTATATGCATATGTTTCCATATATATATACATACATATATATGTATACATGTACACAAATATATAATTACATAGATACAGATAGAATTTGTGTCGGCCTTTAAAATCAAAATGAAATAACCATTTATCTTTTTCCAATAGTATCCATGAATTTCCATCTTTTAATTAAAATAGAAGGATCATAGTTGAAGCTAAATCCCTCTTTTCAAATAGCCAAACGTCTTCCAAATCAGTTGTCATACTGAGTAGGTGCAGTAGATTTCTCGAATGCCATGACCAGTAGTAGCAGTCTTTTGACCACCCCTGTTCACTGCAAGCAGACATGTGCTTACCTGAACAAAAATCCCATGTGGAATTAAATACAGGTCATAAAAGGTTATTATTCTCTAAAGAACTACGCATTAAACATGTTAAGTAGAGCATAAATCCGTAGAGATTTTATTTTATTTCATGGCATTTACGGAATTATAATTGGCTGAAATATTCCCAAACTTCAGTGTGTATACATACATGCACACACACACAGACATATATATATACAAATATATGTTAAGGATACTTAAGTAAATGTGCAGTTTTCTTATACGTTTGTGCCGGGAACTATATACCAAACCTTGCTTCCCACATACATCAGTAATGGAAACTAAGCCTTGCGAAACTGCTGTACCGTAAACCAGTGAATAAAGAATGGTCTCAATACTTTCTTGTATTTTATTTCATAAAAAAGCGTTTAACAATCTTTTTAAAACCCCAAGGCTTATATCGGTCCCCTACTTCGCCTAAGCAACCCACTTTAACTACTCTGGAAACCCCTGGGGTAACTCTTCCCAATCCCCAAGACTCAGGGAAGCGTCAGTTTCATTTTTTTACTTTCGCCTCTCTTCCAGTCGAGCGTCCCATGAAGCGAAGAGTCGTAGCTGCCGCTCAGCTTCGGGGAGCTTACCCGTAAGGAGAGTGTGTGAAGACATAAGGTGAGATCATAGGAGACTTTGGCAGTTTGTAGTTCTATTTTTGGCAGGTAAATATACAGCAATGTAATTATGTGCATATATTTAATACATATGTTTATTTGTGTTTATATACATATGCATATATATATATACATATATATATATGTGTGTATAAATATATATATATATATATATATGTGTGTATGTATATATGTGAATATGTGAATATATATACATATATATGTGTGTATCAATATATGAATATATAAGTATATATATGTATATATGAATATATGAATAGATTCTCTCTCTCTATATATAATCACATAAATACATTTATATTTATATACGTATATATATAGATATATATTTGTATTTATACAAGTATATATTTGTATAAATGTTTATTTTTATCTACATATGTATATCTATCCATATATATGTA